CTCACGTGTTGAGTCACAGCCGGGATATAAAGGCACCGCCTGGGAGACGGATGTCTGTATTGGGGGCACAAAGCATCCTCAGAGACCTCATGTCATCTTCCAAATGCTTATAGTGGAGGTTCCCACGATAGAAGGGATTTCTCTGGGCGGTGGGGGGAGGTAGAAACTCCATTTAGTGAAAAAGAATGTACCTCCTGGCCCCTTCCCCACAGGTGTCTACACACAAGGTGAGGCAGGGGGTGGGGTGACCCTTTAGGCCTCAACCTGTGGGTCCCGCCCCTTGGGGGTCGAACGACCCTTTCACAGGGGTCGCCTAAATACATCCTGCAGATCAGATATTTACATGACGATTCATAACAGTAGCAACAGGACAGTTATGAAGTAGCAACGAAAATAATTTTATGGTTGGGGGTCACCACAACATGAGGAACTGTATTAAAGGGTCGCGGCCTTAGGAAGGTTGAGAACCACTGCTTTAGGGGTAGGTGCCCATCTGCCCAGGCCCTGGTCTCTCTTCTCCTCTAGACGCACCTTTTATTTGGCTAGAGGCCAGCAGGGAGGGTCTGTCCGGTGTGTCTCATTGTCTATTTTTAATTCCTAGCCGTTCTTTTCTTTCCCTCCCACCCTGAGGTTGGGCAGCCGTGGCCTCCTGGGCCCTGTCACGTGGGTCAGCGACTTATCTCCAAGTTTGCTTCCCCGGGAAAGAGCCCCGTGGTCTGGGGAGCTAGCTGCTCGGCTGTGGCTGTGCAACTTCACTGGCCCCACGCCCTTTCCCAGCCTCAGTTTCTCTCCTTTCATCACGCATTTTCCGGGAGCATTGCTCATGCCCGGCTCCCGCGTGGCACTGAGCACAGAGCTCAGAGTTCGCTGCGGTGCTCTCAGCTGGGACCCTCAGACCCCACCCCTGCCCCGGGAAGCCGCTTAGGGAAGGGGCTATTGTTGCTATTATAGTGCCAGTCTCCTGGGATCCCTAAGCCCCGGAGGCTCTCAGTTTGTGGTGTGTTTTTTTGTTTGTTTGCTTTTTTGCTTCTCCCTCCGAGAAGAGGGCGGGGAGCTAGCTGGTAACTGGACCCAGGTGTCCCGGCTGAGGACGGGCCCCTCTGCCTCCACCCCCCACCCCTGAGGTCCTCGCTCCCCGAGAGGCCCGGGCTGGAGCTTAGAGCACTGCCCTGCGCCCGGGGCGCCGGGCTCCGGGCTCCCGGCTTGTGGGTGGGGTGTGTGTCAGCGTCCCCTCCTCCCCGATCCGGAGAGAGGGCCTGGGGGAGGGGTGGTCACATTCCTGGTTGCTGAGTGGCCCCGGGGGGCGGGGTTGGGTTGTCATGGCGATGGAGATCGTGTGTTGTGTTTTTTTGGGGGGTGGAGGGGACAGGGTACCTTGCCACCTCCCGCATTCGCACCTCAGCGTCTGCTGGTCATGGGGAGGGCCCATCGGTGCCCGACCTTCCTGGGGGGAGGGGCTGGACCTCTGTCCCCAGAGGCCACAGGGCAAGGGGAGGAGGTGCCCAGGGGCTTGAAGACTCCATGTCTGGGGCAAGATGCCCCTCCGATTCGCGCCCAGGGCCCACCCCCTCTCCTGGGTCTATTTTAGCACATTTCCAACCTCCCAGCTTCCTGTCTCCCGGGCCCTCAGGTGCTCTGTTCCCGTCTGGATGCGTGAATCACTGCCTGTCCGCCTCTTTCCTATCTGCGCCTGGGGCCCCGGGCAACATGGCCACCTGGCCTCCGTCCGAGGGAAGCCCGGTAGCTGGAGCCGCTGCAAGGGCTGCTGGGAGTTGTAGTTTCTCCTCGGTTCAGCTTGGCCTGGGCGTCCAGGGCCTGATCTGAGAGGCCGGCTGGGCCACTGCCCTCTGTGCTTCCCGGACCTCAGACCCCTGCACGTTCACACCTGCCTCCAGCGCCCAGGGCAGGCCGGGCAGGGCACCGAGTCAGGAGGGCCCTTCCCAAGCCCTGGCCCTCACTCACTTGCCCTGTTATTTGGGCAAATAACTTTTCTAAGTGTTTTCCTAGAAGCCTGTTGTGGTTACTACTGGGGGAGGGGGGCGGGGAAGAGGCAGCCATGGCCTCACCCCTGCACTGGAACCAGAGCCGGGTGCTTTTATCTATTTTAGAGGTTCATTGGGCAGCCTTTGCTGTGTGCTCGGCACTGCAGGGCGTACAGACAGGCCTCCCTGATCTCGGGCCTGCGTAGTCCTCGTAGACATTCACTGGATGATAACGGGAACGACTGAAGTTGGGATTGTGAGGGTGCCGTGAAGGAGGGGTGCTGGGAGTTTTATCTGGGGAGCTGACCAGGTTGGGGGAGATGGGGGGGTTTCTGGAGGAAGTGGTGACAGGGCTGAGGTTGGTGAGTACAGGAGGCTGAAGGATCAGCCTGACTGGTTACGGTCCTTTAGCTCTCACCACCCTTTGGCTTAAGTACTATGACTATCTCCATTTTAAAGACGGGGAAACCGCGGCAGAGAGGTGCCATAAGTTGCCCAGCATCGTACAGATATTGGTGGCAGCAGTGGGATTCCAACCTGCCCTTATGAGAAGAGGTGACAGAATGATGGGAGGAGATGTTCACTGGGGTCCAGCACTTCCAAAGGCCACGCTGGCTGCCGTGGGGAGGGTGGGTGGTAGTGAGGCAAGAATGGAGACTGAAAGGACGTGGATGCTGTGGTTTTAGTCCAGGCAAGAGGGGACCGTGGTTGGCCCAGGGTGATAGCAAAGATGCAGAGCGTATAGATAGGGTCTGGGCATTTGAGGGCAGAGGATGCTGTTTGATTTGTGAGGGAGCGGGGGTGACTTAACTCCGGGGTTCCTGATGAGCCGTCATGTCTAGCTTTGTTTGAAAAGTTCCACCGCTAAGAGTCATTCCACAGCCCCTTGGTGACCTCCTGGGCCCCTCTCAGTCTTACGCTGATGTGCCTTAGAGGTCAGCCCCCACCCCAAACCTGCAACTCAGACCTCCCGCTCAACTTACTTCTCTCTCTTCTTGCTCACAGATTGACGAGATGCCTGAGACTGCGGTGAAGTCAGCAGCCAACAAATACCAAGTCTTTTTTTTCGGGACCCACGAGACGTGAGTGAGGGGCAGCGGTGGGGAGGGCCACAGGCAGACCGCTTTGGGGAACGGGTGGTGATGGCGCCCCTTCCCTGTGGGGTTGCACAGCTCCGAGGCAGTGAGGGGCTCGAGAGCACAGTCTCCCATCTCTCACCAGGGCATTCCTGGGCCCCAAAGACCTCTTCCCTTACGAGGAGTCCAAGGAGAAGTTTGGCAAGCCCAACAAGAGGAAAGGGTTCAGCGAGGGGCTGTGGGAGATCGAGAACAACCCTACAGTCAAGGCTTCTGGCTACCAGGTGAGCTGCCAACTGCCCAGTAGACCCCCTGGAGAGCAGGTGTGGCCACAGGCTCTGTCCACCCCGGGCCCAAACAGGATGCTTAGTTTTCAGGAATGGGTCTCAGGAGAACCAGGGCTCTCACAGTAG